CCTTGCCCAAGATGCCAGTGCACAAGAAAGAGCAGCGCGTGAGGAAATCGAAGCTCATTCTTCCCTTTAGCGACGGAGAGCTTTTGCCATTGTGTTTTGGTGCATCCAGCTGGTTTAGGGAGTCAATCCGCACAACCAGTTGATTAGTGTGGCATAAGTGGAAGGGAAAGCTGTGTGTTCCTTCCCGGATCTGAGTCAATGACCCTCCTCATCTCGTGAAACTCCTACACCAGATGAACCTCTGCTTACAGCCTGGAACAATGAACTGTGGCATAAAGAAATGACTGCCCCAAGAGCAGCAAGACTCGAGACAAAAAAAGTTTGCTACCAAGTTACTCAAACTCCAGGTGGCAATGCCAAGTATGGAGGTTGGTCCAATGCAGGCCGAAGGCGCTACAATGCCCTCAAAGCTTGAGGTTCAGGATGCTCGTGCCAAGCCCAATGCCCAAAGATGCAGAACAAAAATGCTGAATGGATTTCATATCTTTGGAAAGGAAACTCACGAGCCCGATCCGGATCCTCCGAACAGAAGAAGAAAAGGAAGCGTTCCTACGAGATCTGGTGGACTTGTGACTAGGGCCTTCCAGGTTGTCAATTGGCAGCATGGCCCCATTGAATGGGAAGCCCTTGGCCGCCTTTGATTCCCCTTGGTGCTTTTTGGCAGGGCTTTTGTGAGAAATTTGTTGCCCAGTTCTCTCTGTTCGGAAGCCTTCCGGTGCTTTTTCCGTACCCATTGCCTCCCTTTCCTTTTGCTGATCTTGTTAATTTGGTCGGTGGTGGTTGCCCATCTGGTAGCCTTTTTCACCCCTTTTCACCCCTTTCACCATGAGGATCTTTTACGGTGATCCTCTTTTTTGGTGACTCAGTACTGCTCTATTTGGATTAGCGGTAACAATCTAGCCTTTTCATATTCCCACTCTTATCCTAGTCTTATCTCGTTTTAGCTGGTTTTAGTTGAAACTTGGCCACCTGCAGGTCCCGTTTTGGTGGGTAACGCCTCTGCGATTAATAGCCCCTCTGTGCAGGATCTATTGTTGTTGGGAATGCATTCTTCATGTTCTGACCATCCAAAAACGGATGGCGATGTGACTTCTTTTTAGCAGACAATGACTTAACAGTTGGATACACCAATGGGCACAAAGGGTAACATACCACGTACTGAAGTTGTTTCCCCTGCCAGTAGTAGATTGTAAAGTACGTCACTTCCCAACCAGGAGCACCGGTTGCCTAATTGGAACCTTGGACTTGGTTCGGAAGGAGAGGTTGGGATGTGCTTCCCAAACGAGACCTGAGGTCTCGTTTTCAGAATTACCTACAATTGCGCTTCTTAGATGACTCCAGTTTCCCACTCGACCCAGTAAGCACTTGCTGCACGTTCCTGCTTCCTCAATTCTCCCTTCCACACAACTTCCGTCATTCATTCCATCTTATTATGTACCTGACATGTATTCTTTCTCTTTTTTTGTTTTCTTTTGTTTTACTTCCTTGTGAAGGCTCCAGCAGGCATTTTTTCTTCATTTTGTTTTGTTTTGCTGGATTACAGTGTGCATGGTGCAAGGTTACCAACCTTGGACACGCATGCGATTGGATTCGTGACCCTCCCGAGGTTTGCTCTTGGTCAAATAATCCGCATCCATTAGTGCCGTCTCACAGGGCACGATTTGGACAGTCCCGTCATCCACGTGTTGCCAGAAGTGATGGGCTTGTGTGTGGTAGTACCTGGTCCTGGATGTGAGACGATGATCATGGGCCAGAATCAAAGCTGCACTGTTGTCTTCAGCAGCCTTTGATGTAATGGTATCCCGCATCTCATGGGGCACTTCCAGGAGCTGGGTCAGTTCTTCCAACACACGCCGAATTGACAGCAGGACACGGAGACAGTGAGACAGAGCAAAATACTCGGCCTCAGCAGTAGCCAGACAAATTGATGAAATGAGCCGGCTCTTCCACACCAGAGGGCACCCTCCAAGTTCAATGATGTAACCCATGCGTGATTTGGCACTGGATGCATCTTCCAATGGGTCAACTTGGTATAGCCCCACAAAGTCAGAATCACTCATTGAGTTCACAGAGAAAGTTCCATCAGGGCGCATAATAGTGCCCTTGTCCTTGCTCCCAGCCAAGTATCTAACAATCCTCTTCACAGCTGTGGCATGACTTTGCCTGGGATCGTGATTGAATCTGGCGACTTGACTGACGGCGAACGTAATATCTGGTCTTGTATTTGTTGACAGATACATCAGCATGCCAACAATGCTGGAGTAAGACCATGTGTCTGTCATCACTTCACCATCTGGGTCTTTTCCCGCAGAGTTTGGTTTGGAGCCGCTGGTGTGGGGCTGCTGTTGCAGTTCTTCATCCCAGATGCCTGGATGATTTTGTCAATCAATCCGGGCTGAGTCATATTGAAAGCCCCATCTGGTAGCTTCTCAAAGTGGATCCCCAGGAATGACTTGAGTGTATTGTCCAGGCTGAGTTTGAACCCGAAATCCTCCATGGTCTTGAAGCATTTGTCTTTCTCTGTGGGATCCTGGAATGCACAGACAAGATCATCCACGTAGGTTACCACCATCATTCCAGGTTTGACAAACAAGCATTTGTCTTGTTGTGACTGGTTTAAGCCATACTTCTCCAAGGCAGAGCACAGACAGTCGCTCCATAGTTTGGGAGCAAAAGATGTGCCGTAAAGGGACCACTTCAACTTCAAACAGGATTTGCCCTCCAAACTAGATTGGTAGCCTCTTGGAAGCCGGATCCACACAGGCTTGTCCAAGGTGGCATGTATGAATGCATTTGAGTAATCACATGTGCAGGTAGCCCATCCCCAGGTGAGTGCCAAGATGAGTACCATGCGAATTGTGCTCCAAGCACAGGTTGGTGCACGGGTTTCAAAATCATATGACTTCATTAGGTCTCCTCTCACCACAACTCTTGCCTTGAACTTGTCAAAGGAACCATCAGGCTTCCTTTTCACTTTCATCACCTACATCACAGGCACAACTTCTCCCTGAGCCTCACCAATGGGTACCTCTTCCCAAGTGCCATGGTCCTCCAAGTCCCTAATCTCCTTTTCTAAGGCCGCATCCCATCGATCATAATTTTCAGTGTCTGCCATGGCTTGCTCCAAAGTCATGGTGTCCGGATCGGATTTGGAAGCCTTGTAAATCTCCGGAGAAATTGGTTCATCAAAGAGAACAGATAGGGCATAGACATGATGTTCTGGGAAATGGTAGGAAATGGTGTCACCATGCAATGTGTTTCCTTCCAATGCATATCGCTGTCCCAGCAAGTTCACCTCAGGTTGGTATCTGTCAGTTGCTTTTCTGGTTCTCTTGTTGGGTTGAATTTCCATCATGTAGTCTGGGGGTCCAAGTTCTCGCAATGCTCCCTTAGGCTTTGGCTTCTGTGGGGGTGAATATGTGGAGACTGAACCTGGTGTGGAGACTGAACCTGGTGTGGTAGACACAGATGTTGGCGGAGAACTCACAATGGAACCTGCTGTGGAAACGCTTGGCTCGGAGGCTGAGTCGGTGATGGGTGAGAATGATGGCAAGGTAGATGGCGTTGGGGGCACCCAGATGGAGGCAGGTCTTGCTTCTTTATATCTGGGAGTGACAGCTGTTGGTTGATTTGCAGGTGTTGTGCAGTTGGTGGTGTTGACTGAGTAGTCTACATTTGAACAACAGGGCAAGGCACTGGTTGGACATCTGCCAGTTGGTCATCAACACGAATCACACTCGCTTGATCCAGACGTTCCCCAATTTGCTCTCGAATCTGCAGGGTGCGCTCCATAGCTGGGTCGGGGCTTTGCTGAGTCCACTCTTCATCTTGGACATACTGGTACTCCGAATCACCAAACACTTTCTGCCATTCAGGGGACTGAAAGTTGGGCAGGTCATCAACAGAACTCCCCACAGTAGCGAACCAATCGTCAAATACGCAGTGGTAGGGAGTGGTGAATGCTCTTGTCCGTGGGTTGAGAACCAGAGGGGTCCCGGCAAGGTGATTCTCAGAAATCCCGACAAACACCACACGTTCACTTTGGGCTTCCCAACGTGGTAGCTTCTTTCCATCTGCCATTCTTTTGTCCAACAGATAGCAGGGACATCCCCAAACATGAAGGTCATGGAGGCGGCGTTGTGGTTGCCGAATGCCCGTGAACACATCCAGGGGAGACAAACCGGTCTCAGGATTTGGAACTCGATTGAAGATGTAAATGGCATAGTGAACAGCCAAGGGCCAAAGAGTAGCATCAGCCATTTCAGCCCAATGGATCGCAGCATGAAGCATCATTGTCCGAGCAATGGACATTACAGTGCGAATGGCCCGCTCGGCAATGGCATTGTGATGGTGAGCACCAGTACCAACAAAGTGTACAATCTGCTGGTACTTGGATAAATGTTCCTTGAAGGCAGCTGAGGTGAAGGCAGTGCAGACGCCACTGTCAGTAAAAAAAAAAAAATATCCATGGGTACAACACCATGCTCCAGGCAGAGCTGCTCCAACTTCTCAACTCCCTTCAGAGTTTCATGGGTGTTCAAGTGCTCTTGATTGTCACCGAACAACATGGAGCTGGCTGAATCCACAGCAAGT